AAAAAGTGAGGTTTCGAGGGGATTTGGGATCATCAAGCTGTCCCCAAAAAGTGAGGTTTCAAGGGGATTTGGGATCATCAAGGTGACCCCAAAAACTGAGATTCCAGTGGGATTTGGGATGGTCAAACTGTCTCCAAAAACTGAGATTCCAGTGGGATTTGGGATGGTCAAGCTGTCCCCAAAAAGTGAGGTTTCGAGGGGATTTGGGATCATCAAGGTGACCCCAAAAACTGAGATTCCAGTGGGATTTGGGATGGTCAAACTGTCTCCAAAAACTGAGATTCCAGTGGGATTTAGGATCGTAAAAGTGTCCCCAAAAACTGAAATTCCAGTGGGATTTGGGATGGCAAAAGTGTCCCCAAAATCTGTGATTCCAAGGGGATTTGGGATGGGTGAGGTGGTGCCCAAAAACTGAGATTTCAGTGGGATTTGGAATCATCAAGGTGTCCCCAAAAACTGAGGTTCCAGTGGGATTTGGGATGAGGTTCCAAGGGGATTTGGGATCATCAAGGTGACCCCAAAAACTGCGATTCCAGTGGGATTTGGGGCCTCAGAAACTGCAATTCAAATGAGATTTGGGATGGTCAAAAACTGAAATTCCAGTGGGATTTGGGATGGCAAAAGTGTCCCCAAAAACTGAGGTTCCAGTGGGATTTGGGATCACAAAACTGTCCCCAAAAACTGAGATTCCAGTGGGATTTGGGATGGTCAAACTGTCTCCAAAAACTGAGATTCCAGTGGGATTTAGGATCGTAAAAGTGTCCCCAAAAACTGAAATTCCAGTGGGATTTGGGATGGCAAAAGTGTCCCCAAAATCTGTGATTCCAAGGGGATTTGGGATGGGTGAGGTGGTGCCCAAAAACTGAGATTTCAGTGGGATTTGGAATCATCAAGGTGTCCCCAAAAACTGAGGTTCCAGTGGGATTTGGGATGAGGTTCCAAGGGGATTTGGGATCATCAAGGTGACCCCAAAAACTGCGATTCCAGTGGGATTTGGGGCCTCAGAAACTGCAATTCAAATGAGATTTGGGATGGTCAAAAACTGAAATTCCAGTGGGATTTGGGATGGCAAAAGTGTCCCCAAAAACTGAGATTCCAGTGGGATTTGGGATCACAAAACTGTCCCCAAAAACTGAGATTCCAGTGGGATTTGGGATCACAAAAGTGTCCCCAAAAACTGAGGTTCCAGTGGGATTTGGGATCACAAAACTGTCCCCAAAAACTGAGATTCCAGTGGGATTTGGGATGGTCAAACTGTCCCCAAAAACTGAGATTCCAATGGGATTTGGGATCATCAAGGTGACCCCAAAAACTGAAATTCCAGTGGGATTTGGGATCACAAAAGTGTCCCCAAAAACTGAGATTCCAGTGGGATTTGGGATCACAAAAGTGTCCCCAAAAACTGAGATTCCAAGGGGATTTGGGATGGGTGAGGTGGTGCCCAAAAACTGAGGTTCCAGTGGGATTTGTTTGGGATTTGGGGAGCTCTGGGTTGGGATTCAGTGCCCAGATCCACCCCACAGAGCGGGAATTTTGGGATTTGGGGAGCTCTGGGGTTGGGATTCAGCCCCCAAATCCGTGAATTTTGGGACTGGGGAACCCTGCCCAAGCCCTGGAGCAGCTCCGGGGGCGGATCTGCGCCGGGATTCGGGCTGGGGGTGCCACTCACCCCTCGACGTCCACGGGGTCGTCGCGGCCGGGCTCGGGCAGGAGGGGCATGGTCAGGGACCAGTAGCGGATGACGGGGCCCACGATCTTCCTCTTCTTCTGCACCTGCTTCTTCTTGTCGGCCTCCAGGCGCTCGTAGTTCTCTGGGATCGGGAATGGGATCGGGAATGGGATCGGGAATGGGATCGGGAATGGGATCGGGGAATGGAATCGGGATCGGGATCGGGGTCAGGAATGGGATCGGGAATGGGATCGGGATCGGGGTCAGGAATGGGGGCGGGAAATGGCTCAGCCCGGCACGGCGACGTTACGGCACGGCCAGCTCTGATCCCAGGAGCCCTGGGGAATTCCTGGGATCCCTGGGGAATTCCTGGGGAGCTCCTGGGGATCCCTGGGGAATTCCTGGGATCCCTGGGGAGCTCCTGGGAGCCCCATGCCGTTCCCAGTGTCTCTGTCCCATTTCCGCTGTCCTGGTGCCATTCCTGAGCTTCCTGTCCCATTCCCAGTACCCCATTCCCATTCCAGATCCCATTCCCAGTATCCCATTCCCAATCCTGGCTCACCCAGGGATCGCAGGTTGATCTCCTCGGTGATCCCATTCCCAGTATCCCATTCCCATTCCCAGTACCCCATTCCCGATCCCAGGATCCCATTCCCGATCCCAGCTCACCCAGGGATCGCAGGTTGATCTCCTCGGTGATCTTGGCCTCCTCCAGCAGCTCCTCCTGGGTCAGAGGCCGCTCGTAGTTGGGGCCTCCCTTTTTCCTCTTGGATTGCACCTGGCGCTCCTGGAGCCGCAGGAACGTCTGCCGGGTGTGCTCCGTGGTGGACTGCCGCATGTGCTTCCGGCCTGCGGGAATCCCGGGAATTCCGGAGCGCTGGGAATGCCGGGAACGCTCCCACGGCATCCCCGGGATC